GCCGGAGGGAGACGTAGTCTGAGTCTCCTATTTTAAGTCCTCATACATTAGATTTACAAGTAATAGGTTTGGTGTATTTTACATCAATAATAATTACGTTGTGATGGACTGGAGCACAGCCAGCCTCTAGAGGGTGATCAAAACAGCTTTCACATTTATTCATGTATTTGTTCAGGTATTCACAAAAATAACATTGATTGCATGATTTTTCTATTACTTCAGTATTTGTATAAGTGCTCCAGTTACTTGCAAAATCATTCATACATCTGGCACTTGCATTAAACCAAAAATATGAATGTTTTGTTCATTTGTTTTATGATGGGCCAACACATTTCCAATTTGGAATATGTGGCAAGACTTAAACATTTCTTCTCATATTCTTTCTATTTAATCTAACCACGCTTGTGCAATTTTCCACCAAAGCACCTACTGGTGTATTTGCTGTGAAGCACAATTCCAAGAATATTGACTTAGAAGTGCTGAATACCAAAGCATGCCACATTTACAGGTTTTTGTCAATAAAAAGCGTATGCATGTCCCTTTCTTTCAACCTCACAATTATGCATCACAAGGACACCAATGATAACATTATCTCTTGCCCCTGTTCTCCCCACATTGCCCCATCACTCTTTTCTGTTACCTTGTTCATTTGTTAAACTGCTGCATGTGAACAGGGCCTACATCCATCACAAAGTAATGACATTATGTACTTAACTTTTTTTCCTGCAGTGATAAAATGAAAAATGGAGTCTTGGAAAGAGGAAAAAATGCACATACCCAAGCTGTGCATTGTGAAACAATTTCATATGGTCTGTTTGTTCTCCAGGGTCAGGCTACCCGTATGTTCTGGAGGCCCCAGCCCAGGATTTTATCTCTGGTAAACAAACAACAAAATGCAATACCCCCAGGCTGCCTTCATCAACTAAAATCAAACCCTCAATTTCACCTCTCCATTACTGCAGCTGCAGTTCTACTTCGTCGATAATATGTACTAAATGGTCATTATGCGTTTCTGCACTGCTATAATGCTTTCAAACAGTTTCCAGTGCTTTGTGACGTCTTAATCCCCCCCACCATTAATAACAGAAAAAGCTCTGCAGAATCAAACTCCAGTGATTGTCTCAGAGTAATAAAGTTTCAAAACAGCTTTGTGAAACACACAACATTATACACTTACAACTTCTGGCTTCTTATTAATAAACAACCAACAGAAAAATACCCCAGTGTGCTTAACATTGCTATTTTGCTGTGTCAGTAAAGACTAATCAGCCTGGCCTTATTACTGCTCGCCTCCAGCCCTAATGTGTAGTCAGAAACAATATCTTGATATAGATGTGTGTGTTTGTGCATTTGTTTTTATTACCATGGGGGTCCCGAGCATGGGAGCACACCAACATAGAGGGGCCCGGTTGTGTTGTGGGGCCCAAAATGCTGTACCCCACATGGGAAACCACTCTAAAGCAGCGTGGGATGCTCTCCTAACATGCCTCATGCTTTTTTTTTCCCACTTGGCCCACTTGGTAGTAAAAACTAGAAAAGTGGGGACCCCCTG